AAACTGAAAAGTCGGCATATGACCGATACTGTGTTGGTGCAAGTTAAAATCCAACCAAAAATTAAAAAAAAAAAACTCTTCGTTTTTAGATTGTAGTTGTCATATTAAGTATAACGTACATCTTTTTACCTTCTTTCATAAATGGAATGTATTATGTATTTTCTTGATGAGATTCTACTATTTTTGGAACTAGAAAAATTACGAGAACAATACCAAAAAGACATTCTGCAGGGCACCGAATAAGTAATTTTACTACTGTATTCAATAAAAAATAGTCTTTGAACACATGTTGCAGTTTTGCATTGTTCACCGGTCACATCTATTTCGGTGCATTATGAATGTGTTCTCTATATGGTACATGGTTTATTTAATATTACAGGTAAAGTGTGACTTATTTCCGTCAAAGAACACATTTAAAAAGCGCGTGCCGAATATCTTTTTGATTGATTCATTGCAAAGTTGGCCTATTGCATTTGCGTTTATCCTAATGTCCCTACTCTAAATGAACCTCCTATATCTTTCAATTGCATCAATTGTCATTGCAATATTTTACCTTTGATAGGGCATTGTCAAACAGATAATGTTAAATACAAAACATTTGTACCGTGTCACGACAAAACCAACATAATGGGTTTGCGACCAGCATGGATCCAGACCAGCCTGCGCATCCGCGCAGTCTGATCAGGATCCATGCTGTTCGCTATCAGTTTCTCTACGTGAATAGGGTTGGTAAGCGAACAGCATGGATCCTGATCAGACTGCGCAGATGCACAGGCTGGTCTGGATCCATGCTGGTCGCAAACCCATTACGTTGGTTTTGTCGTGACACGGCTCATTTGCACTAGAAAGTTCAGACTACAGAAGTCAGGACATTTTGAATAATTTAACGTCGTTGCGTATTTTACATCGTTCAACAAACACTTCTGAGTTTTTGTACAAAAATCTGCTTCGAAGATTTCAAATAAATATATTCAGTCACTGTCAGATTGATATGAAAATACTTCCCTCAGACTTGCTTGCTTTAAAAGGTTATTGTTAAGTTTTTTGTAGCTATGGCAACAAAAGGGATGACACAGGGTGATATTTTGGCGACATTTATATTTGATATGAGCGCAACTCAAACAGGACTGATGACACATGATTCATGTCTTCAACAGTTTTACTAGTGTAATTGCCAAAACGGCTCACAATTTGATAGCGACAATTAATTTTGTTACCACCATTATTTCATTTTTTGCCCAATTAAATCATTTCTTCGTTGAGTGATAAGCACGAATGGATATGAAAACACTGACTTATGATTACCGAAAGAACATTTTTACATCTTGGCTTCAATTATACAACGGATGATGGTTTTCGATACAAGGACATCTGTCTGGACGGTTCGATAAATGATAACACAAAATTTAAGTGTAATATCCATATAAGTAACAAATTGAAATCAATTAACGCACTTAATTAGTATTTATTTATATTGACTTTTGATGACTAAAGAAGACGACAATGACATTAATTTAAAACATACAATCGGAGCCAAGTATCTGTCTCGTTATAAAGATATGATGTGATTAAGTATATATGTTGACAGATTTAGAAACGAGCTGTCTTATTTTAAGATACGTTATTATGTATTTATGTGATTTCAGTTTTAAAAAAACCTTTAAAATCCGTATGTTTGGAATGCTGTATTTAATAGAAAGCCATCTTCCCTAGGTGTAAATATTCTGAAAAGGGGAGACAATAAAGCCATTAAGATCAGTTTGATTAAAATAGAGAATATAGACAACCAGAATTCCAGAAGAACTCTCAAAAAGACAAAATTTGAAATGTTGCAGACCCGGTTAAATTAAATCGGATCGTGGACGTCATTGACGAGTTAATGCCCCATAGCACCGGCTTAAGTATTTTATTTTATTTGTTGCCTGCTCGGTTTGATTAAGTCTGACGCCTTTGATGAATTCAAACTTCTGTCCATGCCTACCTAGCGCCGGGTTATGTATTTTATTTCCAACACATTAAATGAACCGAAGTCGATGATATTTAAAGACAAGGAGTAATAAGGTCTCTAAGATGATGTATGGGGAAACCTTTTTGCCTCTATGCCACTACCTCGACAAATCATTCAATCAAAAGATAGCTTAATTGAATACTGCTTAACACGGCACACGAATCAAATTGTTTTTTGAATTTTTCATATATTATTGCTTCGAGTGATCCCCGCCCTTCAAAGAAGGTTAAACAATAATTCATATAAATATCTATATGTAGTAACAATTAAATATACACTGAAACACTTTCAAACTGAAAAAAGATTCAACATAACTAGAAAAGAAACAGTGTGAAACTTTTAAGAAGTACATCAAAGTAAAACGAAGTTTATATTATTCATTTTAGTCATGAACTTCTCCTACTTCCTTCTAATGGTCTCGTTTATTGAATTGTCATGTATTCAAAACACAAACACCTTTTCATTTACACGCGACACTCCTTAATTAGACTTTAGTGACAGTTAACTTATATTAACATGGTTTTTGCATAAATCAAATTGTTCTTACATTTGTCGTATCAAAATACATTTCAAGATGATTAGATCATATTACGTTACACGTGTATTTTTGTATGTTTTAGCAACTAAACCATAAGACTAATATACGTGTACATTTTGTATTTTATACGAAGAAGAACAAAAATCTGGAAAAAAGGAAGATCCATTGGAAGCATTGAAAAAAAAACCCAAAAAAACCCCAAAAAACAAACAAACAAAACCCCAAAATAATATTACATTAAAATTTCAGACTGGTTTGTTTGAGTCTGTTCATTAGAGATCATTCATAAGTTCAACATCTCTCATGAAATATAAAAAACAAGATAAACAAGAAAAGGCGGCAGTCAAAGAACGCATTTCCCATCACAAGGCCATCGGAAATGGGCACAACAGGACTGATCCTAGCAACGGCTTAAGCAGTATGCAATTTTAAACACCAACGTGCTGGTATCATCCTGAAAGACCAGAAAAATATTACAACACTGACGTGAAAGACAATCATCTTGTTTTGTCTTAAAATCATTTTTTTTATAGTTGGGAGAAGGAATGGGTGAACTATTCTTTCTACTAATGTTCGCCAGTTTAAAACTAAACAAAAGTTAGAAAAGCAACGGCGATACATATGACAAACATAAAACGAAATGACCAAGGTCGATATATTAAAATGTCTGATAATCTTTCAGCCTTGTATAAACGTTACATTAGTGATTTTATTTGTCAAAATAAATCAAACATCTAACTCCTTAGATGACTGAATAATTTGACTTACTAAGCTGTAACCATAAATCTTTTTATTTCTAAAATACATCAGAAAAGAATTTCGCCGTGTATGGAATTCGGACACGCGATCACGAGCGCGCAAGCATTTAAAAAAAGACACTAGACCACTGAGCCAAAGAATCGATGCTCTGATACAGATTTCAGAGGCTGCATATTTAGCTAAGACAGTAGGTGTGCATGCAATCGAAAGTGTATTTATGTAGATACAAATGTACAAGAATTTAGATGACGACCACTTACAAATATTTTATTTCGGTAACTTTTAATCGAGTCCCAATATTTGCAAACAATAGTCCCAATATATTGTAATAAGTTTTTGCCAGCACGTTTTATAATATACAGCTATCAAAAGCAAGTAGTTCCCATCATTTGCAAACAGTACACATATTTGACAATATTGTCAATTCTATTTGTATTAGTTTAATAACATATTTATCGTAAAAGGAAAGCCTTCAAAAGAATACTACTTGCGTGATGTTTTACACAGATAAAATGTTATAGAACTTTTAAGTCTGTTAAGTCTGTAAGTTTAGATCGGAAAGGGAACATTGTTCATCGACGGTGCTGGAAAGTGCAAGCTACGTCCCCAAAGCACCTGTTTTAGAAAACGTTAACATTGAATGGTGAAAAAATGGTCATCATAGCAATTTTGCAATAAATTTCTACTTTGGCCATCTTCCCTTAAAATTAACCATAACACTAAATATGCAGACTCAAACAGTTTAAATATTTTGGAAGGCAAGTATTATGATGGTATGACCATCTTTTTAGGTTGCTTCCTCAATAAATTACAAGAACTAAATTCGAATCATTCATTAAAAATATCGGGAAATGCATGACTAAACATGTATAGTGGTAAATAAAAGATCATCTGGTCAAAAAAAGACTTCACATACATATATTTGTTTACTTTTATTCAGCATATTGATATGATAATAATACTGGAAAGTGTATACATTAACAAAAGTGGTAAACTCAAACTCTCTTCGTTATAATTACAAATAAGACACTCTTTTACATTCCAAATGTACAAATGTAGAAACAGTCAAACTCATTATCAAACGTATCACACATTGCTCGACAATTTGTTGTTAAAATGTAAAAAAAAAACACGACGTGTTCCATGAAAAATCAAGGCTTCGGAAGACAAAACTTGTAATCGTTGAAAAAATCGTTGTAATAAAACACCATTTTGGTGTTGTTAAGTCCAGCCAATTATGTAATGTCTATTTGATTTCAAGGACGTTAGCAAATATATTACTGAACTAAACAAGATTGTGTGGATATTGCAAGCAATACCTAATGCAAATTGGCAAATCTGCAAGGGATATCTTTTTGCATAGAACGACAAAATGTTGCAGGCTCGTGTGGATTGTCATGAGCCTGTTCATAATACATTAATACATGAAAAATAGTGAAATTTTTAATTTAGAAACATCCATTAAACGTGTCATGGAACCTTAAAAATGTGACAATGTGGAACCTTAAATCTACGTATTTAATACATTTAAATGGGGGGGATGGGTGGCGGAAAGAGACACACACAGTTAATGTGAAGTACAATGTACATAAACAAACAGTAAATTGATTTGCAAACGTAAGTTATACAATGCATATAAAAACTACATCATAAAAACATACAGATTTTTATATTACGGCGGCAGGTATTTCACTCCTTTTATCATGAAAGTCATATACTATTATGATGAACTCAATGTTGTAAGATTAAACTAATGCTGTCCAGTGTCAAAATAGTATATATTTATCTCTATGTATACGAAAACTTTGCTGTTCCTTTCTGAATCAGAACTCCCTGATGTACATTGCATAATTTAATACTGAAGGGTAGTATTATTTTGATATTTTTCTTTACAATCACGTTATATTATTTACATATTATACGTGTAATGCTGATTGAACTTTATACAATCTCAGTTACATCATTCCCCTCTCTATATAACCGTTCAGCGGATGGCTCATCTGGAGTTCTAGATCGTTGTAGAACTACCGCAACAATCATGATGATAATAGCAAATATTATTGAAAGAATAATAGTCCCTGCTATCCAAATGAAAAACCCACGCACTCTTTCCTCCTCATCATCCATTTGTTTCTTGTTGTATGCTGCGTCCGTAACATCACAAAAGGGAGGGTTTTTAAAACCTTCTCGACAACCTGACAGATAAAGAAGAACTTAAACTTAGAAAAGAAAAAAAAAGAAAGCATAAATAAGAGTACATCGAGCGCATTTTCCACTAAATTTATTCCTATATTTCAGTCCAATAATAATTAAATCAGTTTTATAAAGGAGAATACGTGAATGTCGTTAATCAAACTAAATGTATAATATTAAATAACATTACCACGTCACGCGTATTTTGCTTGATATACGTGTAAACATGTACATGTACATTGTATTGATATTCTACACAATAAACCTTATTATAATTATGTACGTAGCGCACGCCGATATTTGGCAGACAATATTATAATATAATAATTAATACAGATATTTGAAGTCTTAAACATTAAATTTCCCCTACCATTGACACACTTTCCATCGTATTTCTCACATGAACCGTTTTGACATCCTGAGCATAACTGTGAGCAAAGTAAACCAAAATACCCACTTCGACAGTCCCGACATATCCCGTTGTCGCATATTGAGCAATTTCCGGTGCAACCCTCGACACAATGTCCTTCATCATCAACTATAAATCCGTCCATACATCCTTGTAAACATTCCCCACTCTCCGAACATTCATTATTCCGACAGTGAAAGTCTTCACAGGTTAATTCTTTAGACGTTGCCACGTACGTTGACAGTAAAAACACAATAATCCACGAATATACACGTAACTCCATCATTGTTCTAATACCAGCACAATTAAAGATTCAATTCGTTTTATAACGATATCATTTAAAACATCAGTTGTTTACTTCCAACACGAATAAGCGTGAAAAAAATTAAACATGTACACGTAAAATAACAACACACAGTTGTCAGACAGGCCTGTTTCTAGGTCAACACACATAAACTGTTTCACAGAGGTACGAAGTAGTCACACGAAAAAAAAAAAACAACAAAGATTTACTAATTACGCATGTGTATGTTTAACCGTAATATCATCGTATTTTGCGACAGCTTTTGTCTTGCAAATACATGTCATAAAATGACCCAGTTATAAGACTTAATCTGCCAATCAATATCCACATGTTTTTGAGCGCTTAAGTTACATACTATGTGCTAACAATAGTAAATCATATAACATCTTATCTGTTTCTTGCACGTTATTAGACTTGTTAAAAAATACCAGTTCAACAAATACCTGCACAAATATAATAGCAACTTCTGTTTATTTACTATAAATGCGTCTATTGCCTAATTGCGGATTATCTCAATAGTTTATTTGGTTAACTTTTGACAAAAAACATGTTTGGAGATATCAAATTCGACCGACAATAAAACCCTACCAGTTTATGTAGTTGTACTTTTGAATGTTATCGATGCGAATTCTATATCAATTCCAATCAATGAAAGTTTATCTAAGTGGTGTAGGTGTTTATCTCTTAATCCAGGTACCGTTAGTTCGATCCTCAATTAGGGCACGGCCATGTTACCAGATGTGATAACAACACTGGTTAGACCCGAGTGTGGCTCAGCTTACCATTAGGGTACTAACACAATCGAAATAAAATAAGGATATAATTATGTACTGTTTAAGATCGTACAGCTATTTTTACAACCTTCGCAGAAAATACACTTAAAACATGTTTATCTAGGTCACTGAAAATCACTGAAAAATCAAAGTCCATGTGCAGTGCAGAGAAACAGATTTAAATAAATTCAGTAATGAACTTACACGAATTTTATATTTTATTTATCACAGACCGTTTAAAATGAATTAAGAGTCATTTTTCATTGACGCGTGTGTGATAAATGAAGTATTGGTACACCTTTAATCATCTTTTGGACAGTGAATAAGGTATTCAAAGATATTATCAACACTAGGAATTTAAGTATTACGCCATTCCCAGGAATATAACCAGACAATAAAATAAACTTGCATAACACTACGAAGATCAATACAATTTTGTCTCTATGCATATTCAAATAATTCACTGAAATAATGAGAGTTTTTTTTTTCTAATACTGATATACATAATTTGTCAATTACTCAGAAAATCAAAATTCTTTTTAAAATACCATTTGACTATTGGGCAGTTTCTTGAATTTTGCTTGGTTATCATTATTTTCCCACCCCATTATCAGAAAAAAAACCATTAAACTTTATTTTCTTATTTTCGTTTTTCAATAGATATTTCAATTAGATATTTCTTTCGGGTTATTTACTTTGTCTTTATCCCAGACTATATTTTGGTTTGTCATGTGACATAAAAAGCGGCGATGAAGTACTTTTACATAATGCACGAAGTTCACCTGAGGTCTTCCTTCGCCAGTAAAGCATGACCTTTAAAGTGTCACTATTAATTAAAAATTAAAAAAAATGATAAGTAATGCATTTCAAGGGGTACGCCGAGAGCCCAAACCTATTTCAATAACTACCAACTTACAGAGTTTTGCGGCATTCAGTTTTACATACAACATTTTACTGATATTATACAACTCTTTGCATCTCCTATTTGATAGTATTATACAACAAATTATGTTGTCATATATATGACATTACTAATTATTCTTTCCATGTAACCACTGATGCAAATACTCATTATTACTGAATCCCAGAACAAAGTTCACACGTAAGCTATTTAAAATAGACTGTTAAACTGTTTATTGACGCTTATGTCAGTAAATCATTGTTTATTTATACGACAATGAGGTGGTAAATCATTCACATGGTATGCTTTCCGGTTAATTTGATTTCCTGCTATATATATTTTTCAGTTGTTTGGATTTTTTTGCAGTTATTATATGCTAAAAAAAACTGGAGGATGTGCATGCTATTTATTTACTATCATTAACCGAGTTTAGCATGATACTTGTTTCTTAGTATAACATAGTAAATATAGTGATCAATCCGAACATACGTAACGAACTTGTGCGATTTGCCATAAAGTCGTCAGTTAAACAAGACAAGATAATTTCACTATTCGATCAACATCTCAATTAACTTGAATAAAGCAACTTCTTTATATTTTCTGGATAGGTAACAGGATAAAAGTTCGTTTAGATTAATAATAATATTTCACTCTTTTATGTATGTATACAATTATTTTTCAAGATAACAAGACATTTATGAAAGGGTAAAGGGGCTTAACAACAAGTTCTGGCAACATTAATAGCAAGTATTTCCCGTATGCATTATGAAATATATAAAACGTATAAATGTTTAAAACCCTAACATAAGCAATAACATATCATGATATATAATATAAAACAGCAACTACTACACACAATTACAAAAAGAGAGGAAAAACAAACAAACAGAAAGCCAACAAACAAAACAGGAAATAATTATTTGCAAATACAAATGTATTTGACAGAAATTCTTTTTATACTTGTCTAGTCTTTAAATAAATTTAGGCAATACATCTCATATATATATTTGGAGGGCATAATTTCTTCAGTGAAATATTATTCAATGGATACATTTCAAAACATCCAAACATCTAAACTTTACTGTCGGTAGCTCATATTTTTTTCTTTTTTGAAATTAAAATCCCTATAACTTCGAATTAACTGAATTAACTGAACAGGATTAGTCCATTTTAAAAAATCTGTAGGCTAAGAAATTTTGTTACAGTAAATTTCTTCCCTTATGATTGTCAATACGACAAGACATCACCAATTTTGCTTGTTTTGTTTATGGCGTACCAAAGCAATTTAGGTCATATAACGTAGAATCAGAAAATATGATTTTTGCTAACCTCGGTGTTACAAACTTAAAGCAACACGATGGGTCAAAACCACCTCACCTGCTGGAGCTAAGAGATGCATAAGCTCCAGTTATTTGACCCCAATTAGCAGTCTCTTACGGTAATGCCTGCACAATATGTTGCTGCAATTCTGATGCCTCAACCATTTCAGGAAACCCTTCAGCTACAAGGTGTAAAACAGCACCAAGGAGACTTCACAGATACACTTTGACTCTTTATTTGTGTATTATTTGTGGCTATGAAGAGAAACCATCACTTTCATTTTAAATTGCTATTGTAACTGTTTTGAATATTTCCGTGTTCTTTGATTCGTTGAAATTGCTTCAAGTAATTGAAAATGGCTTGGTTTGCACAATGTCACTTTATATCAGTTATTCAGGAATTTTCTTCTCCCCCCGAAAGATCTACCTTTACTCGAAATAATCTGTGGTTGTATCATTCCAAAATAACAACAATTCATAGAAAATGATTATAAATCTGGGCGTTTTTTCATATCAATTAGCATTCTCAATAAACATGTAAACAAACACTCGAAATTTTGCACGTAAAGTGAAGAATGTAATAACTTCAAATAATGTGATGTAATGTATGAAATACTATTACAACTCACATCACACTTTTTATTATGTTATATGGATAATATACGTCCAACATAATCTAAAACTTTTGCATTTATATAAACACATTCGTGTTTAAATACTGTATTGATAGAACACAGAACAGCTCATAAACCACCCAACTAATTTGTTGTTCTTTTATTAGAAGCATGTGAGACCTGTAGTCAATGTTTTAACAAAATGAATACAGATACAGGTGAGTAATAAACCTTTAAATGATTGAGTTTACGCCTTACTTGATACAGCTGTAAAACCATCGCAATTATATTTTTTGCTGTACCAACTCTAAACAATTCGTATCTATAGAGGGCGCATCGATTGCGTATCAAATGTCGTGATTATCGTGCAGATAAGGAAATAACCGTTTGAATATTGTTAATGCTTATCGACAACAGAAATTATTTCGTTCAATAATTTACCACCATTGATCCCAGTTTTTCACACAACCACAATGGCCTGTCGCTCCTGCCGCGATAACTTTAAATACATCTCAATTATAAAAAGTGTCGTAAATAAAGTAGTCTCGTTTTCGATTGATTTTACAGTTAAAACGCGTGTTTATTTTTGTCACAGGAGGTATCAAGATTTGTTCGTATGGTTAAAGTAAAGTTTCGCTTTTCCGCATGAACAGTGCTGAAAAGCCTTATCAGTAAATTCCTGGAATTTGACACCATTGTTAACTTTTGTCGCTATTATTATGAGATAATTTGTTGCATTCGATTTCAAACGGAATAAGAGATTAGGTCTGGCTATTTAAATATTTCATAATAAGTTATTATGATGGTCAGACTCGAACGTCACATGAGGTTCAACAATTGGAATATCAGACGAGAATTAAGAATGTGTTTCAAAACTGTTTTCTAGACAATGATGAAGTATTTTCATTTCATTTTTCAGGGGAATCGTACCATTGTGATTGTGTGACTGTGACACATATGCAGACAATATACTTTTAAATCAAATACATTTACTCTTCTATAATTCTCTATATAGTGTTGCCTCCTGGATGTCCTCCTGGTGTGGCTGGGTAGTGTCGGGGGTTGTGTTCTGTAAGCGTCGCCTTGCCTTGTTGTTCTTTGTTCTCAGCGTATTCTGATGGGAAGCTGTAACTTTGTATTGTATTGTCATGAATGAAAACAAAGTCATTTATAATAAGTTAAATGAGCAAGAAAACAAATAGTCTGTCGACACCAACAGTTCTTATAAAGAAGACAAAGGATTATATTTCCCTATTGTAAAAAAAATTGATAGCGGAAACTTTGATAGAAAATCTAAGAACAGACTCTACGTTGAAAATACCAATGACGAAATCTTTATGAAAATTTGTTTTAAAGCCTAAACAGAAAACTCGGATGCTGTACACAAGTGTCTGTGACAAGGTGCAAGAGGTAACTTGTGTAAACTGTAATGTACTCAATACCTAAAACTAAATTCTAAGCTTTTGTAATTTTCTTTGGCAGATATACACTTCAAAATTTATTTTATAAAATATTTTCAGATTTTAATCAACAAAACGTTTGTTATATAACTATTAAAAAGGGAAATGTAAATGTTGCAAAGCCTCATCCACATTTACA